GCCTGCGCTCCCGGGCGCCCCCTCCCCATGCGGAACCGTTGATCTCCGCCCCCATCCCCTGCTGCACGACTCTTCGACCCTTTCCGGGGTCCTGAAGTCGGGGGCGGGGGTGGGGGGAGTCTTAGAGTGCACGACTCCCCCAAGCCGGGGGCCCTGGGGTGCACAGACGGCGCTTCCTTCGCTTCCCCCAATCTGGAAGCCCCCAGGGTGCACAGCCCCGGGGGTCGGGCACATTTCCCGCTTTTCTTCCCTATGCCGACGGCACTGTCAGGGTTCCCGGAGCGCCCCGCCTTGTTGGGACAAGCAAAGAGAAAACAACCTGTGCTGAGTGCCACCGGGGCCTGCCCAGCGCCCTGACATCAGGACCACAGCTGCGCCCCCTTCCCTCTTTGCGATAGACAATCCTGGATCGTTCTCCTAGGTGCTTAGGCCACCAACCTGCCCCCAGCCTGGTCCTGGACCCATCCCAGCCATACCCCACAGTGGCACCCGTTCTCCTCCAGGAAAGCCCATCCTGCTTGGTGATGCCCAAGGCCCAGTTCAACCTCCAGACCATTGCACTGGCACTTGTTCAACTGCAAGAGTTCCTCCCCGACCCCCTCAAGGCTTCCCAAACTGCAAACTTCCTGGCAGCTCCTCCGGGCTCCCTACCTCTGCTAACGCTGCCCCCCCCCACACACACACACACACGCACCCCGTTCCTGTCCTCTGCTGCACTTGTTTCTCACCGTAGCTCTCTCATCTGCCCGTGTGCTGTGACCCTACTCACCCCTGACCCCGCTACACGGGGCAGCTCATTCACAGCCGGGTCCCCAGGTGTAGCACAGGGCTGGAACCCTGGAGGAAACGTGTTTGTCCGGCGCATGGAAAGGTGGCACCACTAAGGGAGGATAAGGGGCAGCCGCGTGGGTAAATGCCCAGGAAAGCTGGCTCCAGGCCTGTGCAAAGGTCCTGAGGTGGGAAGGTGTGTTTGCAGAAGCCCGAGGCGTTGGACTGAGCAGGGGAAGCCATCTTGTATGGTTCCCAGTTGGGGAGTGACACGCTGCCCTTGGCTGTGTGTGTGTGTGGAGAAGGCACCCATGGTGAGGCCCAGGGAGGAGGCTGGGGTCATCCAAGCCAGTGACGGGAGCGGAGCTGGGTGGATAGGCTTTGCCAGTGAGTCCGCCGGAGGATTCCAGGATAACCTAGATTGTGGGACCTGGATAACAAACAAGTGTTGCCTTTACCCACGGGCCGCTCTGGAGTGGGGACTGGAGCGAAGTCCAATGAATGAGTACAAGGAGCCAATTAGATAGGTCAGGTCTCCATATGGGTCCAGGGGTCCGGGAGAGGTCGGGCTGCGCACGGGACACACCTGACTCATGAGTAGGACTTCCCTCTGTACACACCCCGGTGGCACCATGCCCAAGGCATTGGGACTGATGCCCCGAGTGTCCCTCACAGCGCTGGCACGGAGGGGGCTCCTTCGGCCTGGATGCTGAGAGGCAGGGGCTCGGCTACAGGGCCTGCCTGGACCCTGCAAAGAGCTATGGCACACGCAGCCCCTGGGATTAGGGAGCCTCTGCAGTAACTGCGTCTCTGACCACCTGCGCAGCCCCGTGCCTAGGTGTGACACATCCCCCTCTGCGCCCTGCACCCCTCCGCTCCTCAGCCAAGGCCCTTCCGGTCTAGCCCGGGCTCTGCTTTTCCCCAAATACAAGCTGAGGGCCGGGTACTGGGGCCCAAACTGCGTGCGTGAGCGCGGGGGCGGAGCGGTGACGTCAGCCCACCGAGCGAGGCTGCGCAAGCCGCGCTGACGTCCGCAGAGTCGGACCG